CTACCAGTAAAATGAACACTCTAAAGAAAAATGGGCAAAGCAAGTTACGTAGAAAAAGTACAAATAACCAGTGAATAAATTAAAGAAAAACTAAAAGTCAAAACTCATAGTAATCAAGGAAGTGCAAACTACAACCACACTGACGTATGGGCTTCTGTATTTCCAAATGGGAGACTTTTTTTTTGTAGTTTATTAGTACATGCACGTAGAACATAATGTTTACATTCTTTGTGGAAATATACTTATATTTAAAACCTACTATTAAGGAATTTTTAATGAGTGCTCTTGGACACAGATGATAAGGAGAGAATAGTATATGTTATCAAACCCCAATTAGAATATATTTGTATATTTTCTAATATTTCTACTTCTAGATGTTTATTTCGTGAAATAATCAGGCATGTGCACAAATATTTATTAAAAGGTCCATCCCAGCAAAAATTAAGACAAGCATGAGGAGAAGAAACCTAAGTGCTCAATGACTGGGGAATTGTCAAGCAAGATAGTATTTAGCTATACAAAGATACAAACATTAAAAATTTTGTTTTCAAAGAATAAAGATCCGATCTCAAAAACAGAAAAAAAAATTCTGTATACATATTTGCAATTTCCAGTTGCAAATCCAGATATTTAAAAATAAATGAGACTGACTTAACTGTAGCAGTGAAGCTACAGTCAGTCATGAATAGCATGGACGTGTGGTTTGTCTGATTCCCTAGTTTTCAGAGTTTGACTTTTCATATTTATTTGTTTATTTTTGGTTTTTTGAGACAGGTCTTGCTCTGTAGTTCAGGCTGGCCTTGAACTCACTATGTAGGCCAGGCTGACATCAAACCCACGGCAATCCTCCTGCCTCAGCCTCCTGAGGGCTAAGATTATAGAAGTGAAGCGTGCCACCACGCCTGGACCTCACATTTATTTTAAAGAGCTTTTGCAAGCACATGAGAGTGAGTCTTTAGGTTCTACATTGTAAACCGGCCAGCATGTGTGGGCTGCTCTTTATGCCATTTGTATTAAGCCAAGGAGGGCAGTTCGGTCTACTGCAGACTTCTCTTGTCCCTGAGCTGCAGAAGCCCCAGGTCTTGGGGAGCTCCTGTTCACCTCAGGAGAGCGCTCCACAGTGGCCTAAGTCTTAGTCCTGGAGGATTTGGGACTTAAGAACAAAGTAAGTTTTCTTAATTTGTAAGTAAATTTCCCAGCTGCAGTGGGCACACTTCACTGTGCAGGATTTTCTTCTCTCGTTTTTTATTTTCCAAGTTGTTCTGAAGCTCTTCATCCCCTCCCTCCCTTGGAGGCTTTCAACACCTTGGCTTGAGAAAACAACTAGGATGTATTCCAGTTAGAAGGTTAGGAAGGAGGCCATGGGAGAAGGGTAGGGAGAGCTGGGAGCTTTTCCAGGAAGTGCTGGGAGGAGGTGAAACACAGAAAGGGGGTAAAGGGCAGGCAGCAAGGTGAACGTGGCGGTGCATGCTCCTAATCCTAGCTACTCAGGAGGCTGAGGCAGGAGGGTAGAAGGTTTAAGGCTAGTCTGGGCAATTTCGCGAGACCCTGAGGTCTCCACATAAAATGTAAAGGGCTGGCCGACAACGCTTCCTACCGTTGTCCATCCTCCCCGTTGCAGACAAGAAGGAGAACCCCGCCCCAGGGGCCCGAAGCAGCCACTACCCGGATGGGAACCAGGAGGGCGGGGACCCCACTGTCACCCGCCCAGTCTGAGTCTGCTCAGCCTCTGAAATCACTTTTGTGTTTTGTGGTTGTTCAGCCTGTTTTCACAACTTAGAATTTGCATGCATTTCTCCTCCTCCTCCTCCTCCTCTTCCTCTTCCTCTTCTTCTTCAAAAGGAAAATGGTCTAGTAGGAAATTACCGAGGGCTTTTAATACAGACCTCTATCAGAAATGCGAGTTGGCAACGCTGTTGTTTACTTCCCCCCACCCCGAGTCCTACACTTCTCTCTTTAGGATAAACCCTCAATTCAGCAGAGGAGTCCTGCATGGGGACAAGGACTGGGAGTGTCTCTCTGCCTCACAGTGGGCACTGCACCCTCTCGAACCACAGCCCAACTGTTTGGTGTAGAAATAGCACTAATAGCAACTTCAGCAAAGAAGCAAAGGTAGCATTTGCCATGTTTTGAAATTAATCCTTTGGGTAACTAATTTATGCCCCTCACACAAATTTCAAACAGAGCAAAAGCACTTGCAGCAAGAGAGAATCTGTCCTTGCCGGGCTCCCTCTTGGCACACCTGGGGTAAGGAGAGTGTGTGTTTGTTACAGAAATGGTGAGCTGCTGTGTGTGCACCACTCTGTCCCAACCTCTTTTTCACTTAGCAAAACAGTACCCTGGTCTCTCCGCATCCCTTCATTTTTTTGCAGCTCTGGAGCTGTGTTTCCTCGGTGTTCCGTAGTTTAACCAACCCGTTTGATGAACATTCACAGTCAGAACTGTTGTGTGTCGGGAATGTTCATTGCACAATTATTTGAAATCCTAAAAGATCGAACTTGTACCCATACGATGCCGTAGGCATCGCGAACTGGAACTCCAGGTGTGGATCAGATGCTTTGGCCTTGGGCAGAATCCAGTTGTGTGCAGGCTGTTTCCCGGCTCCTTCATCTTGGCTCCTGCGTGGAGTGGAGATGGGCTCTCACTGCAGCTCTGAGCTGCGTTTCCCTGTCCAAGGGTGGGGCTGGACGTCCTTCCAGCAGTCCGGTGCTTTATTTACACATCTGAGTGTGTGCATTTTTTACAGATCATTTTCCTCTTAACCAGCTTGTCTTGAGGAAAATGAAGGACTGGCGTTTGTGACCCAGGTGGCTTGTTGAGGCTTGGGTTTGGGGGGCTGGTGGTGTAGGGGGCACCGCGGGGCCCCAGGGCTGCATCTAAAACCTGAGTGCGTCTAGTCCCGCAGCACCGGAAGTAGCGCTGCTCCCCACCAGGTGCCCTGAGACTGTGTCACCTGCTTGGGCCGGGCCCTGCCGGCATCTTTCCAGGTTCACGTAGAGATCAGGGTGCGCTCTGGACCTTGACTTACTGTCATCTTCATTTTATTTTTTTGAGGGTCTCATTGTACGTTCCGGGCTGGCCTTGAATACCTTACTATGTATCCCTGGCTGGCCTTGAACCCACAGTTATCTTCCTGCCGCAGCTCCCAAGTGCTGGGATGGGAGGTGTGGCCCTGCCAGACTTGGCTCCTTCTCACCGTTCTTCAGTCCTTAACTAGCAGCCATTTCCGCATCACCTCATAACCGCCCCTGCCTGCGCTGTGCAATCGCCACACCAGCGAGGGAGTGCGGGGCGCATGGAGCCTTGCAGCCCATCACCCCTGGAAGATGCTAGTCTGCCGGCTGCTAGGGTGGACAGCAAAAGGGCCCCGAGGACCAGCATCAGAGTGGACACGGCCCGGAGAGGGGCCTGGGCCACCGCTCCTCATTGACCCCCACTGCAGTGAGGAGCTGGGGTCGCCCCATGAGACCGCCCACCTGAGCCACAGGCTTGGCAGTGGGGTGGCTGCCATCACCCTGCTGCCCTGGGGACTCGGGGCCCAGGTCATGGGGCCGGAAGAGGGCTGCCAAAGGGTGACACCCCCAGCCTCTGAGGGAGCCTGAGCTCAAGGGGGGACCCCAGACCCCCAGTCCCTGCCTTCCTCCAGGCAAAGGCATCTGTGCCAGCAGTTGAGAGGTGGCTCTGTCCTCAGCCGGCTGAGTGGCTCCCTGTCAAGGGAGTGGTTTCCTGCCAGGAGGCTGCCCACCAGCACTGTCCCTCCCCAGCACACAGAAGCACTTGCTGGCCTTCACCAGCTGCGTGCACCTTGACTCTAGACCTCCAGGGCTGTAAGAAATAAATCTCCCTTCTGTATCAAACAGCCAGTCTCAGGCATTCCCTTCCAGCCCCACAAAATGAACTAAGATAGGCAGGCACCAGGCATGGGGACGCAGACGACAAGTATGACAGCCAGAGGTCCCCACTGTAGCTCTTGGCTGGAGCCCCAGCCCTGGCGCTCAGGGTCCTCCCTCACACTGGGGCGCGTCTTGGTATCACCCAGGAATCTGCTCCAAACACAGGTGTGCGAATCCCAGGGCCACTTTCTGCTGACTCGAGGGGTCTTCCCTGCACTCCTGGTGTCTCCTCCAAGGACACCACTGGCCCTTAGGACCTCGTTCAGTCCAAATCACCATCCCCAAGTTCAGTCACACTGGGGTTTGGGCTTCAGCGTGTGAATCTGGGGGACTCAGTTCAGTGCATAACCAGTGGGGACCCCTGGCTGCCAGAGGAGACCCCTGCTGCTGACCCTAGGGGTCGCAGGTGAGAGTGGGGTGCTGAGGTCCAGCGACTGAGAGGGTCCCAGCAGGGTGAAGGACCTGGGACCCTGGGGCAGGGGGCTTGTGTCCTGGCCTTCCGAACCAGAGGCAGCCATGGTCTGCCGGCCTCGGACTGGGAGACCACAGAAGTCAGCTGATGACCCAGGCCACGAGGGGGCACCGACCACAGTGGCTCCTTAACGAGGAGGTTGGGGAAACCCAGATCCAAGAAGAGCGCAGGGGTGGCCCCAATGATCCGGGATGGCACTGCTGGGACTGATTTCAGAGGGTACAGGGCTCCTTGCGTCTGAGGGAGGTGCTGTTTCCTGGGAGCCTGCTGTTGGCAGCTCTGGGGTCTCCTCTGTTTCTGTATGCGCTGCCTCTCAGCCACCCGGCCAGTCCTGAGCCTCCTGGTGTCCCTGCCTGGCACCACTGGGCAGCTCGGCCCTGAGCTTTGTGTGGGTTGTCAGCGGGGTGCAGGGCCAGTTCAGGGTCCCCTCCCAGGCCGGGTGACCGGTCACCTGAGTCTCCACTGTGCGGGCAAAGCCACACCATCAGCGGGAAACCTAAAGGCTGGAGGCAGGAGGCCGAGCTTCCGGGGTGTGGCTCCCCTCGACCAGCCGATGTGGCTTCGGCCCCTGAATGGGAGCTGGTGGCCACTGCCCAGAGCAGCCCCACCTCCGACTCCACACCACCTGTACTGACCGCTCGTGAGCAATGCCAGTCGTCTGGATGTCACCCACCGAGGGCCAGGCAAGAATGGGCCGAGCAGGAGCAGCAGAGGGAAATCTCAGGGGCAGCGCGTCATTGGCAGACACAAGATGGAGCTCCGAGGGGCTGGGGCTCCATGGTGTGGCCCCGCCTTGTGGCTTAGGATCCCCAGCGGCATCCTGGAGAGAGAGACTGACAATGGGGGTTCTCTGTAGTGAGCACCCGTGTGCCCACCCCATCTACACTCACTCAGACCCCACTGTGCACTCAATTGTACTCACACTCGTGTACACGCGTTCACACAAACCCACACTCGCATGCACACCCATTCACACACACCGTGACACTCACAGACCTGCTCGCGTGTGCACCCACACACTCATCCGGGACACACACACACGCACACTCTCTCTCTCACACGTCTGCTCCAGGCCTGAGGTGTCTCCCTGCGCCCTCTCGGGGAGATGTGAGCCCTGTGTGCCAGCGGGACGGAGCCGTGCTCACCCCTGAAGCTCAGCGCTCGCAGTGGTGCGTGCAAGGGGAGTGGATGAATGAGGCTGTGAATCGGGGAGAGCAGGACCGGGGCAGGGGATGAATGGATGGGAGATTCGGAACGAATGGGGGAGCGGGGATGGGAGGACGAGGGGGGGGGGGGGGGGCAGGGGGGCG